TTAAGGTTTAATCAAATGATCAGGATTTAATTAAATAATTAAGATTTAGTAAAATAATTAAGATTTAATCAAATAATTAGCATTTAGTAAAATGATTAAGATTTAATTAAATAATTAAAGTTTATTAAAATAGTCAGGATTTAATAGAATTATTAAAATATATTAAAAAAATTAAAATTCAATAATATAGTCAGGATTTAATAAAATAATTAAAATATAACAAAATATTCCAGATTAAATAAAATTTTTAGAGTTTAATAAAATTATTAGAATATAGTAATATTATTAAGATTTAATTAAATTATTAAGATTTTTCAATATAATCAGAATTCAATAAAATTATTTAGATATAATAAAAATTTTAAAATTAAATAAAATAATCAGAATTAGATAAAATAAATAAAAATTAATAAAATAATTATAATTTTAAAAGATTATTAGAATAGAATAGTTTCAGAGTTTATTTAAGAAATTAGAATTTAATTAATTTATTAGAGATAATTAATAAAATTAAAATTTATTAAGATAATCAGAATTAAATAGAATTATTAAAGTATAATAAAAATATTATAATTTAATAAAATTATTAACATTTAATTAAATGATTAGAGTTTATTAAAATAATTAAGATTTAATCAAATAATCAGAATATATTAGAATAATAAAAATTTAATAAATAATTAAAATAGCTTAAAATAATTAGAGTATATTAGAACAATTAGGATTTATTAAAATAATAAAAATTATATAAAGTATTAAAAATTTAATAAGATAATCCGAGTTTAATATAATAATTAAAATTAGAAAGATTTAATAAAATAATCAAGGTTTCATAGAATCAGAATTTATTAAAATAATCAGAATAAGATTTAATCAAATGATCAGGGTTTAGTTAAATAAGTAGGATTTAATTAAATAAATAGGGTTTAATTAAATAAGGAGGGTTTAGTTAAATAAGTTAGGTTTATTTAAATAATCAAGGTTTAATCAAATAATTAAGATTTAATTAAATAAGTAGGGTTTAATCAAATGATCAGGATTTAATCAAATAATTAGGATTTAATCAAATAATCAGGATTTAATCAAATAATCAGGATTTAGTAGAATAATTAGGATTTATTAAAATGAGCAGGGTTTAGTTAAATGAGTAGGGTTTAATTAAATGAGTAGGGTTTAATTAAATGAGCAGGGTTTAATAGAATAACCCACTGGGGTTGGGGGATCGCATATGCGGCGGAATTAGGGTGCGGGTAGTTTATATGGGAGAAAAGTCTTAGTATAGAGTACAGCAGAATTAATTTTTAGAGTATAATATTCTCACAAACCACAGATTACAGAGATCTAAAAATTTAATAGTAGATAGCTTCACTACTTAACTGTAAGTTTTTAAAGTTTGAATTTAATAGTTACTCTCTATATTATGAATGGATTAGTCAAAGTTAATAACTCTTATTATAATTTTGTTAGGATTTAATAGGATTTTATTAGAATATAATATATCTTATTATATTACTAATCACTATCTAACTTCTATCTTTTAGATTAGATCTGTACATATATCTTAGAATTTATATAATATTCTTTTAGCTATCTATCATACTATATTATCTCATTCATAGAGAAGTAACTATTTAAGACTATTCTCTATCTATAAATAATAATATATCGCTAGTGTCGGTATGGTGTATAGCCTATAAAGATAAAAACTTATTTAAAATATTAATACTAGCTAGATTATCAGATTGTAAGACAGATAGTATAAATAATCTATTAATAATTTAGTTTAGTACTAAATTATTAAAATATATAGATTTTTTAGATATTAAATAAGTCTCTTCTAATTATTTCCTACTATTTTAATAGAATATTATATCAACGTGATTCTTCTATTTACTAATATCTAGTATTTAATATAAAATCCATGTAAAAATACTAGTAGCTTACTTATTAATAATCCTAGTATATGAATTTAGAGTGAGCTATAGTATCTCTAGAAATTATATTAAATAATAATATTTAAGAAAAATTTAAGTAAGTTTCTTATTAAAAACTCTTCTCTACCCGTATAAAATTATATTATATCAATATCTAGTTTTTTAATAGCTAGTAGTCTCCTATACCAGCCCCCAGCTAAGTATAGTAAACTATTAATACTATTATCTAAGTATAGGAAAAGTTAGAATACAAGTAAGCCTAGATACTAATCTAGTATAAATTAATTATTAATACTAATTCTTAGTTATATATAATATAATAAGCGGTGTATTTACAAGATATTTATTTCTATAATATCTTATGTAATATAATGCCTCTAGATCTTACTAGTATAATATAAAATCTTTAATAGATTATTTTATAGGATATAGATATCTTTAATAATAAGATATCTTTATTATAGTTATAACAGCACATCCGGTACCCATCTACTAAAATTAATAATCCTATAAAAAAGACTATCTAAATATTCTAATAAATAATTAACCAGGTCATGCGGAAGAGTTAGTAAATAATATAATACTATAATATAATAATCTAGATAGAAATAGCTTATATATAGTAAATAAAGCTGCCGTACCAACCACTACTAGAATATATAGATAAAAATAATATTATAAAGTATATATATTTCTAGTAATAAGTCTTAATTTTCTTTATTTAGATGTAGATATCTCACAGCTAAGCAAGTCTATTTTATAATTTTATATTATAGTAGTACTAGAGATAGTATACACTCTAGTAAGCAGTATAGATAGATAATATAGAAAAAACTATTAATAATAAGTAGTACTTATAGCTAATAATATGATAAAAATAAATATATCTAGAGTTCTATATAAAATTATTTAACTAATATTAGTAGAGCCACAAGTATAAGAGTACGCTGATATATATTATAACTATTTTAGACTATAGTAAGAATAGATAACGTATATATAATAATTATTCCCTAATTCTATCTAATATAATTAAGATCGCGTGGTTCTTTATAATATAGAAAATACTCTAATTAGATTAGACCGTGTCTTAGATTATTATCTTATAGTAAAAGTACTAGATAAATATTCTATAAATATTTATTAGTGCTAATAATGCGCTAGAAAACTTAGATTAGATATATATAAATATATCTATTTTCTATAATTTTAATTTATTTTTTTATTAATAATAGTTTATATAACAGGTTCACCGGTCCTTATTATCTACTAATAATTATAATTCTGTTAGCTACGGATAGGATCCAGACTATTTAAAAATAATCTTACTACTAAAGCTATTTAATAAGAATTTTATATTATTTATTTATTTTATTTATAATATTTTTATCTATAGTTTACTAGTATTCTTATTACGCATAAGTAATTATTACATATTTTAAAAGAATCTCAAGTAAATAGTCTAAAGTTTTATAATATAAGATATATATAAACTAATACAGACTCTTCTTAACTAGTATATATATGGATTAAAAATCTACTATAATAGTATAATACCAGAATATATAGCCTAGATTAAGACTGATAAAATCTTATATAAAAATATTTAATTTATTATAAGTAAGTTCCAGGGGTTTGTGCACAGACTAATAAAAATAATAAAAAATATCTTATACTATTTATTTTATATAGAAAACCTACCTATAATCCTATAGTAGAAATTATATAATAATATAGTATAGAATATACTAAGCTAGAGTTTTTTACAGGACTTATATATATTATAACTAGTAAAGAGATAGTAATAATTAATTAATTAAATATAAAATAATTTATATCTCTAGTATAAGTTTATCTAGATAGATTATTTTTATTTTATTAAAATTTATATATACCTCTAGTGGGTGGCCTAGTTTAAAAAAAAACTTATAGTACTTATATATATTATAATTAGCTAGTCTATCTAGATCCCCGAGTTACTAAGTCTATAATATATTAATATAAATTAGAACTAACGGTGTAATGTATATATTGAAAATAAAATAATAATATTAATAAATATATATTTTAAGAGATTTTATACAAATAATAATATAAAAATCATCTATTAATATTTGCTGTAGGAGGTTAGAAAACTACTAATTTACTATCTCTAGCTTATTCTTTTATTTATATAATAGTTTAAGGCTGCTGGAATCTTACTATAAAATAAATAACTATATATAGATAAGATTTTCTAATCTATTATTTTATATCTTTAGAAACCAGACTCCAGTACTAGCTATAAATAATTATTTAATTAATTCTAGCAGATTCTGAAATGGAAAATCTAGATATAACTTAACTATTAAAATATTATAATTCTAATATATTAGAACCTAATTATAAAAATTAATTATTAGTTTTTATAATTTAATAGCCAGTTCCGGTATAACCAGTAAAAGAAATAGAAAATAAAACTAGTTAATATTAATACTAATAATAAAAATTATATAAATATTATTTAATAGATAGATTATATTATAGATCTCTAGGTAGCCTACTCATTATATATAGCAGGGCTGGTATATAGATAGTAAGTTATAAAAATAATAAAAATAATAGTATATTAATAAATACTATTCCAGGTAAATAATACGGACTAATATTATTTTTTAAAATTTATATTAATATAAGCTTTTAAATTTTTCTCGATACTAGACAGGCATAAATAAATGCCATAGAAGAAAATAATTAAAATATATTAAATATAGTAGTAGTACTACTATACTGTAGGATATAGATAAAATTACTATCACTAGAACACAACCAACCAAACTCGGCTCACGATTGAAATCTCCAAAGAGAATTTCTAGAGGATAGTGGGTAAATCATATTTCGAGACCAAGGCTAGGCAAGGCAAGCTTCTTAAATACAATTCTTTAAAAGAAAACAGTTTTAAGCAAGTCTGGCACCGTAGTACTCACTATATAAAAGAAGCTACTATAATAAGTTCCAGAACTAAAAATATTTATAACCATTCTCTTATTTCAGTACAAGCATTACTAAATAACATAAATAATTTTAATGATCGGGGACAGCCAGTCAAGCGCAAGTGCGAAAACTAGACAGGACCAGGCCCGGGACATTGTAATAACAATAAGATATTTAAAAATATTAAACTATCCCAGCAGCTATTAAAGGTACTTTCCTTCTTGTTACACTAAATATACAGTATTTAGTATTCGAAATTCTAGCATGAGCTAACATCTTCTAGGCTATGGTACCGTCACTTCCCAAGGAAGCGCCTTTGAAAGACAAGAAGGTCACTTCCATTGGCACGGCTGTCAAGTCAATCTATCCCCGGATTCGTGAGTTGGAGCAGTGACTGGATAATAATAATCTAGTCCTTACAGAGTAAGACGCGCGACTGGTGGCTGACTACCGGTACCTCTATAAATCATATGTCACGCAGCATGCCAAGTACTCACGCCTTGAGAAGGAAAACAGTCAGTTACAAGTCTCCCACGCCCGCCTCATCGATAAAAACACCCAGTTGAACTGTCGCTGCCGGGACGAGGAAGCCCACTTTAACCACTTTTAAGAAACAATCCAAAAACTGCGGGACGATATGACTGATATAATTAAAACATACAGGAATTTCAAGATAACAGAAAATCTTACAACAAGCGATGCAGACAAACTAACACAGGAAAACAAGAACATGGTGGTTATTATACCTATAATACATGTTCCAAAGGACTAAGGCACCAGCACTTCACAATAGAGCCAATAACTAGATACATAGTAGTGAGGATAGTAAATAATATTAATCAATATAGAGGAGTAATACTGAATCAAAACAACTTCGTATATTATATCTAATTATAATATATTTAAAAACACCAGAGCTGTAATCAAGAATTATAGACTCTCTATACTTTTTTCAGATTCCGTGATACTATCTACATTAATATAAATAATATAGCTAAACAGTACTGACATTACATAGTTATTATCAGTTAGTAATAACTCTATTAGGTCCTTCTAGATAATCTAATGTCTAATAACCATTTCCGCAATATTCAGTAGATTTTGATGATTAGTTTTAGCAAAACATCATACTAGCTATCTCAAGACAGTTGCCGTAATTATAGTCTAATTATAATATAAATAATATTACAGTACCAAGCGCACAAATCATATACTTTTAATTAATCTATTTAACACTCAGAATATTTCACTGACACAATAGTATATAATTCTCAATTAATACTAGATTAATATAATATCTTTATAGTGTACAGTATACCAAAAGCACCAGTATCTTAATATATCCACCAAATACAATGAAAGTAGCCAGAGTATCTCCATATTAAAATAATCTAGTTTAAAAGGTAAGCTACTACTCTCTAAGAAACTCTTATAGCTATTAACATCAAGTTAACCACAGGATTATATATCAATTCCATTTAATATCTATAATTATATAGTTATAGCTTGCTCGCATAGCCCTAATTAAATCATATTTTAAAATAGAGGAATATTATCACCTCTCAAGTTTCGCGGTAAATAGTCACAGTAGTTGAAGTTAGTATCACTCTCATTAACATTAATAACCACGAAAGTTCTATCTACTATAGACTCTTTAATCCTACTAGCCATGATATCAATGCTCCCGATTTCTAACTAAAATTACTTTTATAAGGTGGTATAATACTCAGTTAAGAACTACTAAATATATCTACACTCTCAAACAACAGCATAGTCTTTTATATAACTATAACTAGAGTGCCACGGCTAATAGTCTCTTTAAATACCATACCCGGGAATAAAATATACAGCTCTGTTCACAAGTATAAGAAGCTCTTTACAGAATTATTATAATACCTTTCTATAGACAGTTATCTAAATAACAAGTGGTAGATAACAAGGGGCGGGCACCTACAAGATAAAAATATACCCCCACACCACACACCAGATAGTTACAACAGTTATCAGCTAGTCACTTTTACTTTACCAAAGAAATCCAATATCTTATTCAATTCCAATCAACCTCCGTGGAAGCCAAAGCAGCGTCTTCACAGTTAACTTGGCGAATTCAACGCTGCCTCAATGATTAGACAGCTTCTTGTACTGTACATGGCGTTGAAGATTGCTTAATGCTTCTTCCAAGCTGCATACTATGCTTTGCTCCCTACGAAGATTCTTTTCTAGCTGCGTGCATCTCATTTTCCAGCCTTCGGATATGTCGGTGACCTCCGTGACCTTGTGTTGGAGGCGATCGAGCTCTGCTCTGTACTAAACGCTCAATCCTCGCAGTGAACGACTCATGATTTTCCGACATTGACGGACGCTGAATGGGAAGAATAAGCGGACTAGCTTCACACCGAAGTCCGTTGAGGGTGGCCTATCTCAGAGCCCGGTGTCAAGTCTGCCACTGCAACAGGACGGACGGCCTCGATCGACCGACCGATATCTCTGCATATTGCATCGTACAGGCCCACCGACCCATAGGCCGGACTAGTGTTCATTCAATGTGCCTTTACATCAGTAGCCGACCAGGCATACCCATCCCTTGGGCCTGGCTTCAGTCGTACGTGTGACAGCAATATTGATGATATTTTTGTGTGTGTGTTGCCTAGCTAACTACGCGAGAAGGAGGTGACTAGGTGGCTAGGTCTGAGATCACGTGATCTTCTTTCACACTTTCTATGAATGAGGATGTAGTCAGCAACATTACATATAAAAAAAAAAGATATAAGATTATTTACATTTCCTAAATAGGAAGTAAAAAACATATAAATATAAAGATATTAGATATAATTTTAAACACGATCTACCATACTAAATTGCTTAATAAAATAGGAGTAAATAAAATATTTAAATAATTTAATAAGACTATTAACTGTTTATTTAGTTATATTAATATAAATAAACTTAATATTTTTTATATGTACTTTACAATGTATAAAGTACTATTTAATAGAGATATATTTTATACGGGCGTGGAACTCAGGGTTCTTAGTTAAAATAATAATAGATTAATTATCTATATAAATGATTGTAGAGTAAGTTATTAAAATAGATATAACTTTAAAATACTAAATATCTAGTTTAATAAATAATAATTAAAGCTAGATTAACTTCTGCGTCGCTATTACTTATATAATATATTTATTTTTAATTAAAGATAATGTGATAGTAGTCTATTTCTTTGAACTTTATAAAATAAGCTTCTTAATAAGTTGGAATATATAGCTGGAGATTAATATTATATTAAAAAAATAGAAACCAGTAGTCAATATTATAGAAACTAATAAATCTAGATTTACTATGATGGTAAAAAGAGTAATAGTTAAGAAAACTAATAAGATAGTACTAAATAAGATTCATTATCTGAAGATATAGTTTAGCGGGATTATTTATAAAGAATAATAGCTTATTTATTACATATATAATATCAGAATATATATTAATTATAATCTAAATAAGCGCGTTATTATATTTCTGATATATTTTAATATTATTAGAATCCACTATTCCATTGTACTTTAATAAAGGATTCTTAGAGTTATATAGTATAGAAGAAGTCTTGTAAATAGAAAAACTAAAATATTTTAAATAATCTTATATATATAATTTCTATAAAAAATAAATATTTTTATTTATTTATATAATATTAATATCTAGAAAGTGGATATAGGAGTTATTATTAGTGAATTTAATAAGCTTAATAAATAATATTTTAAAGATATTAATTATAGTACCGTCCAGCGCCAGTAGAAGAATATTATTAATATAAATAAATATAAAAAAGCTTTTTTTTATAAACACGGAATAATTTATATGTAAGTACTTAAAACTATTAACTATTAGAAAATTATAAAACATATTATATTATTCACGTGGTACTTATTTTAAATTATATAATAATTTAAAAAGTTTACCATACATATTGTTTTCCTAGAAGCTATCTAGTAGTTTAATATGTATTAATTCATATAGTTTAGTATTAAGAAAGACTATAATAATATTAAAATAATATAAGATTTAATAAATCTTAATAACTAAAATAATAAAAATCTTGAAGCTGATACTTTTAATTATAGCTATATATATTTTTTTAATTTAATAGTCTTTGCTAGTACGCTGCCGGAAGCCTTTAATAATAAAATAAGTCTTATAAATATTATTATATTTAATTTTAAATATCTATTTAAATAGAAGAAGACGTGTATTACGGGGATATAGAACCATATAAAAAATATTTTATTTAATTTATTCTTATATCTCGCGATATATTATTTCATGTTATTTAAATACTTTAATATAGGTTATAGCATTAGTATATAAGATAGAAATATAGCTAGTATCTTAAGATATTAGTCTTTTAATAAAGGTGGCTCTCCTAGCCTGCGGGTTAGTAAGATATTATATAACCATAATTTCCAAAAATAAAATACCAGTAAGATAATTATTAATAAATAATTTATAGAGAGTATTAGTACTTAAATCTGGATTATTATTTATATTAATAGTATATATTTCTAGGGACTCAAGAAACACGTATAAAAGTTTATAAATATATATAAAATAATATAATAGCTATTTAGCTATTAGTAATAATTTTTATTAGAAATAATAGGTTCTATATGGGAGGTACTAGTAACTAAAAGATTTATAAAAACTAACTAATTTTTAAACTTATTATCTTTAATAATAACTGCTAGTTTAAGTATAATATTATAAATAATATTATTAATTACAGGCAAAGATAAGAGTATACTAGTCTATTTATATTCTAGTAACTAGTCCAGCTTCTTACTACTATTCTGCTTGTCTGTAGTAGAATAGCTAGAAAAAATAATAAAAATAAACTACTAATATTAAGAAAATATATTAAATAATAATTAGTGATAAGGATTTTCTTAAACTAGAGTTTCTATATTAACTTTACCATAGTATGTAGAATCAAAATTATATATAAATATTATTAATAATAATTATAAGATAGATTTTTTATTAAAGATAATATTACAAGCATATATGATCTAACAAGTTCAAATATTATAAATCTTATAAACTAATTTAAAATATTTAATAAAGTAATTTTTTTATATATAATTCTCCAACTTATTACAAGTTTTTTTAAAAGTGAGATACCAGTAGCGGTAATTAAAAATTTTTTACTATAAAATATCTAGTTATATTTTATATAAAGCTTTATAAAAAGTCTTTCTAATAATACTTTATATAAGTCTGTTCTATATATAGTTAACTATGAGAATAATATAATCCCATAGAAAACAGAGTAACTAGTTATCCGCTATAATTAATATATAAAATTTAACTAAATAATAGTTTTTAATCTCAGTAATAGGATTAAGATTTAAATAGTAATATAAAATAAAATTCTAGATAATACTTTATTCTTAATAATAAGATATAAATAGTTAATATTTGAACACGTTATTACCATAAACGCATTTAATATTGATGTTTAGCTAATATTTAAGATAATTTTATAAAATAATAAATTTATTATATATCTTGCTGTGTTCCTTAAATAGGAATATTCAATAATATTAAGAAATATAATTAGTAAAAGTAATAAAATAGTATATATTAATTTAACCGTGTGTAGATAACAGTCTATAAATATCTATATAAATAAAATCTCTAATATATAGACTAAAATCATGAGATTTAGTATAAAAAATAGATAAGATTTAATCTTTTCCATAGAGACAGGGCTCACAGGGTGTTAGTAAAATATCTTTCTTAATATTAAAATTAATAATATATTTAATAAAGTTATAAATCTTTTGTTTAGAGGTATGAGCTATACAGTAATATATAAGATAGATTAAAATTAGCAAAGAAACTATTTTTTTAATAATATTAATAGTAAAGTTAGAGAGTAGTAAGCATATCAAAGTACTATAAAAATATAGATCTTAAATCATCTTGTAACTTATAGTGCTAATTATATATAAAAAATATTAAATATCTTTAATAATAATAAAGCCAATCTACTTACTATATTAAATAAAAATAATAGTCTTCTTAGTCTTAATATGTATATAAATACCCTAACATATTAGCTACTTATATAAAATAAGATTATATAAGAATATTAATATATATTAAATATAGTTTATCTCTAAGAATCTACAAGATTTATTCTACTTATCTATTAATTTAATTAAAACAGTGCTGTAGCCAACAGTCTAGAAAACCTTATTAATAATAGTTTTAGCCATGCGTACGTAGGAAATAAAAAATATAAAATAATATTTTAAATAAATTATTATTTTAATAGTCCCAGAATCAAGTATCTAATTATATAAGTAATTTAAGTGTTAGTCTTCTTAAATTATAATAATAATATTAAAATGAACCGATACAGCGCAGGTATTAAGAGAGTTAAAATTAATATTAATTATATTAGCTAATAATGTTCTAGACAGTAATACAAATAAAGTAGATATAATAACTATATTAGCTTAAGTATTTATA